GGAGACGGTGCCCCAGGTCAGGCCACACCTCACTTCCAGACGCTGGCACGGGGGTGCCCGGCGCACCCCAGCTGGGCCTCCACGTGGCCTGGGGAGGACACTGAACTGAAACAGTCCATCTAGGGCAGGGGAGACGTTTGGCAGGCCTCCGGGCAAGTGACCGACTGCCCCTCCCTCCAGCCCCAAAGGGAGGAAGGACACACGACGACCAGGATCCCTTGGCCCAGCACAGCCCCGATGGGCCAAGGGGTCCTTAAGCCAGCACTGGAACTCTGGGCGTGGGGTGACCTGTGGACTAGGAGGACCGTCTCGTCCCTCAGCGTCTCCCAGGTCCCAGCCCCACTCAGACTGTGACAGCAAAGGCTCATTTCCCACCTCCTCAGGCCACGTGGGAGCCAGGGATAGATGAACACAGCACCCTCAGCTCTGTCCTGGGGGCCTAGGGCCCCTTCCCCAGGCCGGGACTGCATGCCTGACTGGAACGTGCATTGCCTGGTCAGTCTTCAACCCTGGTGCCTAGTCACAGCCCGACCAGGGCACTCAGAGCCCTTGTGGGGGTTGGGGGGGGCATATGCACCAGGGCCTCCCAGTGGTGTCTGCGCCCCAGCAGCCCCAGTGACCCCCGGACACGGCCTTCGGAGCAAGAGCACAGGAAAACTGTACATGGCAAAAATGCACTCAAGGACCCTTTGTCCAGAAATTTCAAATATTAGAGATTAAATATTCACCTTCCATCTCAATTTGGATCCTTAATTTCAATTTTCCTAAGTTTGCTCACACTTTATTTTTTTTTTTCAGCATAACAGTACTCATTGTTTTTGCACCACACCCAGTGCTCCATGCAATCCGTGCCCTCCCTCGTACCCACCACCTGGCTCCCCCAACCTCCCCCCCCCCGCCCCTTCAAGACCCCCATATTGTTTTTCAGAGTCCATAGTGTCTCATGGTTCACCTCCCCTTCCAATTTCCCTCAACTCCCTTTCCCTCTCCGTCTCCCCTTGTCCTCCAAGCTATTTGTTATGCCCCACAAATAAGTGAGACCATATGATGATTGGCTCTCTCTGCTTGACTTATTTCACTCAGCAAAATCTCACTTTATTTTGATGGTGTCAATGACATTAAGAAATTAAAGCGTTAGCAAAAATGAACGCCCAAGGACCCTTTTCTGAGGAATCTCCACAGAGTGAGGGTCTCGGCTCTTCACGTGAACACAGACAGTTCACTCTGCGTGCAATGGGCTGAGACAGCCCATCTCTCTGGGGCCCAGGTGCTGTGGTCCCCTCCGCTCAGGGACCTCTTGGAGCCCAGAGCCCTGTGGACAGCAGCACACTCACCTGGAGGGGGCATCCAACAGGCCAGGAGGAGGGGTCTCCTACTGCTGCAGCCCCCCGGGCACGGAGAGGGGGCCCCATGCCCCTGCAGGAGGTGGGCTGCAGCTCGGCAGGGAGCAGTTCCGGAAGGAAGCGCCCCCCACCTCCCAGCCGCCCAGGGCCACCCTGCCACACCCACACAGCACCAGCGGCAGGTGGGGAGGCCTAGGCTGGGCTTCCCACACACCCAGGTGTGAGGCTCCTGGAGGCTTCCTGGAGGCCACACCTTCCCTTGCCCCACGCAAAAGGTCAATCCAAGCTCGCGGGCCGTTGTGGACAGACAGCAATCTGCTCCGAACCCTTAAAAAATGCATGACTGTGGTCAGCCATCATGAAGGGTGCGCACACCTCGCTTTGTGAGGACAGGGGCTTCGGAAAGCAGTCACAAGTGCAACAGAGTGGGAATAAATGATAGAAGACACGTGTGGAGGGATACTAGGCAGACATCAAACACGTTAACTCAGGCAAGTCTGCACGTTTCAGGTGGGAAACACGCAAGACACAGACCATGCATCACGTTAACCATACTCATAGCTGCGCATCAGTGCAAAGAAAAGGTCTCGTGTGTGTCGACCAGGATGCCGAGGTATTCATTTCTGAGTGTAGAACAAGTGTTTTCCAACCTCTTTCTTGGTTCTATAAGTTTTCGCATTTGCGATAAGAAACGCGTATTATTTTATAAACAGAATCAGATCAGTAACGGCTGCTATCCAAAAGCTTCGCCAGATGACCAGTTTTCAAGAGGGACGCTCAGGTTTTCAGACAGTGTGGTGGAGGCAAGGAGAGTCTGGAGAGGGCAGGAGGACCCCATCCGCAGGACCCTCTGGGCAGCAGCTCCCGAGCCACAGCCTCTCCCAGCACTAAGCGGCACCCCCAGCTCGGGGCTCAGGGCACCAGGGACCTGCAGCTGCTTCGAGTGGGTCCCCCAATGCACTTCACTCACAAGCCGCCTAATCAGAACCCTACAAAGGGATTGAAAGGGCGGGGGCCCCTGGGAGAGAGCTCGGCACACAGCCGGAGGGGGCACTGTCCAGCATTAAGCACTGGGGAAGCGCAGCACACGTAGGGGAACCTTGCACACTTCCTCTAAGTCCCAATGCTCTCTGCTCAGCTGACACCCTTACTCTGCTCTCCGCGTCTTCCAGGTCCCCTATCCCATGCCCAGACCCCAGAGGGATGTCCCCACTTCCTGCCAGCTCCCTTCTCTCCCTCCTGACCCCAGGGACGCACTCCTGCTGCACACCTTCCCCCAGCCCCCAGGCCCTGGGGATATCCAGTGTGAGGATGCAGAGGGTGTGGCCAGGGGCGTGGTCGAGTGTGTGGTCAGGGAGGGTGTGGTCAGAGCGTGGTAGGGGTGTGGTCAGGGAGGATGTGGTCGGGGGGGGGGGGGGGGGGGGGGGGGGGGGGGGGGGGGGGGGGGGGGGGTGGGGGGGGGGGGGGGGGGGGGGGGGGGGGGGGGGGGGGGGGGGGGGGGAGGGAGTGAGGATGGAAGGCTGTGGCCAGAGTGGGTGTGGTCA